GAAGGCAGCAAAGTAGCGAGGAAGCAGCAAATGACAAGCAGCCAGGGACAAGCGACCACAGCAGCTCTCTTTCTGTCCATTACATTCTATACAGGCTATGGCCTAGGGCAGGGAGCGCTCACACCCGGGTGAGCCTTCCCATTATCCACTCCCAGGGCCGGCGATATAGATCAGCGGCACAAGCACCTGCCTGGCAAGTGCAAGGTCCTGAGTTTGATTCCTGGTACCAAAGAAACAAACAAAACAAAAATGCACACACCATTATCCATTCCCAGAGCTATGCCAAACCAGTAGACTAATTTAGTAACCACACACCCTTGATCCCAGTGTCACATACTCTAGACCAGCCACCTCTAAAAAGCCCCACCTATGCCGCCTGACGCTTTGGGGGACATCTAGACACAAGCCACCCCTGCCTCCAGTTCCAGAGTCCTAGGTGTCCCACTGCCCTGCCCCCAGCTCACGACACTGACAGCACAGTGAGCCCCACTTCCTCGGGTTCCGTATTCAGATTCAACCCATCTTGGATCAAAACTATTCCAATAAATTGCACCTGTACTGAACATGTACAGGCATTTTTCCTTGTTATTCTCCAGTGCAATGGGTATTTCTGCGGCATTTACCTTAGTTATTATACGAAACCTAGAGATGATTTAAGGTCGTGGGAGACTGTGCACAGGTTCATTCGTATACCACACACCACAGCCTGAGGACGTTCTGCTGTCTGCACTGGGCCAGGGGTGCTTGGGGAAGGCATCCAGGGCTTCATACTCACTAAGTATACACTCTAGCACTGATCGACACCCCCAGCCCCTACGTATGTTCCTCCCTCCCTTCTCAGTTCTGGGAACTCTCAGTACTGGGGACTGAACCCGGGGCCTTCACCCTGAGCCATATCCTCCTACCCTCGGCACTTTATTTATTTGAGACAAGATCTTGCTAAATTGCCCAGGCTGAGCTCAAACTTGCAATCCTCCTGTCTCAGCCTCCCAGAGTCCTGGGATTATAGGCAAATGCTACCATGGCCAGCTCCTCCTGTGTTTCTTTCACAGCTGCCCCTCTGCTCCCCAAGATGACACTTCATCACAGCTCCAGGATGAATGTTTAATTTCCTCAAAAGACATACAGAAAGTCCCTGGTTTCTCAGCAGCCCCACCTGAAACAGGAGGACCCTGGAAACATCTGTACAACCAGGCAGAAAGGTCCCAGTCACAGAGAAAGCCAGGATCTCCTGGATGCCCCCAGAAACCTTGTCTGCCCTCAGGAAAGACTCGATGCTAAGACTGGTTAAGTGGCACTGAGCTTCCAGTTGTGGGTCTTGGCACTGGCAGGACGGTGTGACTCATGTGGTTCTCGCAGGTGGAAGGGGCTGGACACAAAGCTGGAAGCTCAGCTGCGAGCCCAGCAGGCCCTGTATAAGGACAACCTCCCCAACCTGAGCAGTGACCCTTCACTCACAAAGCCAGTGCCCCTGGCTCCTGGTGCCCGCTGGCAGTTCCAACAGGGTCTGACTTGCTAACACTGATCTTTAGGAACACACTGGTTATATACAGAGCACCCTGTCAGCCCTATTTCCCAATGCCCCCTGCTTCCAATGATATCACCTAACGATAAGGACGCTAGCAACTGCCAAGCACCACCAGAGCCACGCCCGCTCTCACCTCACTCCGCGCACCCTCTCCTCGCTGGTTAGGACAAGAAGCAGGGCCCAGTCTGATCACAGGTATCCACAGGGACAGAAGTGTGTATTTTGGATTGTTTGGGGGAGAGCTGTTAGGGAGGGAGAGCCCAGGGGACAGAACTGTCACTCAGAACCTGTATAATGGCAAAGGGGTGCAGCACAGAAGCCTCTGGACCCTTCAGCAGACCTGGAGGAAGGGCAAAGGCTGCCCTCCCGGGCATGGGTGAACCCAAGTGGCCCACTAGATGGGAGCAAGGGCCTCTGCCTTTGGGAAGCTGCCCTCGCTGAGGTTCCCAAAAGAAGGGAGAAGCACCAGGAACGAGCTACCCCAGCACTCGCTCGTCCAGGCCTGGAGTGAAGCCAGCTGTGAAATGTTCAACCCAGGTGAGGCCAGCTCCAGGGCAGAGGGCGGGCGGGACGGATCCTACCCACAGAGGATGAAGTCTTCGCCAACTGACCCCTGGATGACCTCCGGCTCCTGGACACACAGACCCCAGGGCGGCCCTGCCTGTTCCCTTAGCAGCACCTTCCCAAGGTCTCTTGGAAGCCCACCTGCGCGCTATTTCAAGTGTTTTGTGGAGGTTGGGAGGTGGCAGCTCCCGAACCACACTTTGCCAGCATCCTTCCCAAAAGTGCTGCGATGGGCAGGAGCCTCACAGCACGGTGGCCTTGAGGGAGGGCTCTGAAGGCTGACGGCCAGGTCTGAATCCATCTCTCCTGCTGACTTTGGTACTGGCAGCTCAACCGACTTCTCTAAGCCCCCTTCATCTGCCTGCACGGGGATTTTGTGAGGACCAAGCGAGAGAAGGCAGGTTAAGTGCCCAGCCCAGGCCTGACTCAGGCAGAGTAAGCACCCAGCAAGCGAAATCTGCTGGTTCCACTGTCACTGCAGCAACCTCCTGCCGCCACTCTCCCCACCAGCTGCTGCAGTCCTTTCTAAAGGACAAGCAGGAATCCTCTAGGACCAGCCCCTACTGGAAGCCCCCACTCCACCCCAGCACTCCAGCCCAGCCCTTGCTCCCGGGGCCTCAGTGTCCAGCCTCGCTACACTCGCCTGCCCTAACTTAACGATCCACCTTGGAGCTCTCATATACTTTCATGAGGCCTGCTTTACCTCTGGCCTTGCTCAAGCTGTCCCCTTTGCCTGGAGTGTCGCTCCTCACCATGCAGCACCCCCAGAACTCCTAGTCGGCCCCTGGCTGGAGGCCTCTCCTCTGCAAAGCCACCCCTGGTTCCTCTGGACCTTGATCCTCCTGTGTCCTCCATCAGAATGCCCCCTCACCCCCGACCTTTGTTTGCCCCATCCCTGCTGTCCAGAATGCCCTACCAGGCCCCTGCCCCCTTAGCAATGGCCTGAGGCTCCCTGGGGCCCAGCTCACTTCTTGCCGGGAGGCTGCATCCAGTTCACACAGCGGCCCCTCAGTGCGGGAGCGCCGCACGAAGGACCCGACCCAGGCCTTCCCTGAATCCACAATTAAGCTTCACTAGCGCTTGGCAGTGTTACCCTTGCTTTCCCGACCAGGTGGCAAGTGCCTCTAGGGCCAACAGCTGCTCTGGGCAAACACAGCCCAACAGTACACAAATCTCCGGGTCAAAGGGATCAGAGAGATACCAAGCGCCAACAGGAAAACTACGGCTGAAAACTGAGCTCTTGGCTCCACCCCCAAACATTGCACTTGAACTTCTCCCCTAGCTAAGAAGAAAGAAAGGTACACAGATCCATTGCCTTTCTGCTTCTGAAGAGTAAACATTCCTCACCCAATCAGCACAACCCATTAGATCAGGAGTTTCTTTATACCAGACAATTCATTGACATTCTTCAAATTCTTTTGCTAAATTGTGCAACCAGGAATCAGTCCTCTTCATTTCTTTCCAACCGGCTGCCAGGCTCCTAACGGTCTCCTGCAATCCCCAGGGCCTCCTCCCAAGCCCTCTCCCTGGCCCTTGGCAGCCTCCCCCAGCCCCACCACCTTCCCCGTCTGCCTTTCTCTGTTTCCTCACTCCACGCCCCATGTCCAACAGTTCTTCCTCTCCATCAGTCCTCCGGTCCGTTCCCAGTCCCCACAGCCTCCCCTGACCTCTCAGGACCCTCCTTCAGCGTGCCAGATCCTCCCACCCCCTCTGCCACAGCCTCAAGCTTCTTCGGGCCCTCCCAAGTCCCCAAAGCCCAGAGCTCCTTTCCCATTCCCTGTCACTCCTCTCTATCACACACAGGCTTCCTGGTCTCTCCTGTGACCCCGTGCATCCAAGGCCTCTCCCGCCTTGGTCTCCATCCGATGCTCCCCACATGTGCCAAGTTTCTTTCCTTCTGGGTAGTGACGATGTCAGAGGTTTCACCACAGGCCAAGCTCAATGCTAAGCACTTCACACATAAGTAAACCTCCCAGGTCAGTTTAACCAATGATCGCCTGTATCTTGGAAATTATACAACTTACACAGGGTCGTGAGCAACTGTCAGAGTCGCCTTTTAAAATCTAGACTCTTGATGCTCCTAAGCGACCATGACTCTTCAAAGGACAGCCAACTTTTATGAACTGACATGAGCTTGATGTGAACCGTCTGCCACCTCCCAGGTTTTAGTTGTCTCCCAGCTCCCCCCAGGCCCTCTTCTAAGACGCACCGGACCCCTTTCACACTTGAGGGCCACACAGCACGCGGTGACCGCCCTTTTGTTTCTCTCCCTTCTCTTCTCTTCTCATCTCTCCCTTCTCTCCTCCTCCCGGGCCAGGCCAAATCGTGTCTCCACCCCTTGGCCCAGGCATCCACGGTCCTAACCCCAGGTTTGTGCTCGGATCTCCCGAAGTGGTCACTCTCAACCAGAGCCGCACCCACCCGCACACCCACACACACGGGCTCACCACTCCCAACGCCACCCGGGCCGCCGCGCCTCAAGTCAGACTCCTTCGCCCCCACCCATCTCCCTGAGCCCACGGCAACCCACGGCCACGGCCTTGCGGAGGTGGGTCCCGCGGGCACCTGCCCTCAACCCAGTCTGGGATCCTCCAACTGCGTCCCCTGGAAAGCCCAAGGCTTCTGCACCTGTGGCTCCCCCGGCTTTCTCGGCCGCTCGGGCTGGCCCCCCTCGGGCCTCAGATCGTCCTCCCTGGGCCCAGTTCTCCGGGCCCCTGGCCTGTGTGCAGCCCGGGTTCCCTTCCCCGCCTCCAGACGGTGTCGCCTCGGCCCTTCCGCGTCTCTGCCTGTCCTCGGCCTGCGCGCGCTCCGCGCCTTACACCGCGTCCTCCTCGCCGAGCACCGCTGCCCAGCCCGCCGCCCCTGCGTCCTCTCAGCCTAGATCCCGGCCCTCTCGGCCGGTTCTCACCCGAATAGGCCAGAGAAAAAGGACTGCGAGTTCTTCACTTTACGCTCCGCCTCGGCCAGCAGGGCCATCGCCTCCGCCTCCTTCCCAGAGTTGTCCATGTCGGCCACGAAAGTTCTCAGCAAACTGCCCGACTGGGCACCGAAGGACTCCGCCGCGGCCGCGCCGCGGTACACCAGCCAGCGAACTCAGCGGGCGGCGGAGACGTCGCACCTGCGCGCGCCGCCTTCGGCCAGCGCCCTCGTGACTCCTACCGGCCAACCAGCAGCCTCGTAGTGCAGCGCTAGCCCTCAAGGGCCACGCCCCCACCCGATCCGCACGCTGCCTTGTGACTCTCACTCTCCAATCGGCGTCTCGAGATCTCGACGCATGCGCATACTGCCGAAGAGTGCACAACATTAGCTTCCTAGTATTTCGCAGGACAAACTCCACATGACGCTGCATAAACCAATCCTACTCCCCATAGCCAAGAACCTGTCCCTATGGCGCGGCCTCTGATTCTCCTCCACCAATGATCAGGAGCCACTGGCTCGGTCGGCCCCTCTTCGCGGAATTTGGGACTGGTCAGCTGACCGCTGACGCTCACGTGACAGCTCCCGGCAGACACCTGGTTTGACAGTTCTCCTGCGCACTTTAGTCCCGCCTCCGCGCTTTGTGTCCTTTACTTCTTCCATTCGAAAGGCCTAAGTGACGAAAAGGAAATTGTTCTACTTCTTGCGCCCTCTGCCGACCGGTACTGAAACTGGCATGGAGAGTACTCGCAAAACTTCAATCTGACAAAATTTAGAGTTGAATTGTACTAAGCGCTAGTTGAAAAAACCTTAGAGCAGGAATTCTCTAACTCTAGTGTCGCAAAAAATGGCTGCAGACAAGTGTGTTAAAAATTCAGTTTCTGGGGCTGGGGATTTAGCTCAGCGGCACAGCGCCTGCCTGGCAAGCTCAAGGTCGTGAGTTCGATTCCCGGTACCGGAAAAAAAAAAAAAATTCAGTTTCCACCCAGACGTGGTGGCTCACTGCTCCCAGGAGGCTGAGGATCGCTGTGATGTCGAGGCCAGTCTAGGCTACATAGCGAGTTCAAGGCAGCCTGAACTACATAGCGAGACCTTGTCTCAAAAAAAAAAAAAAATTCAGTTTCCAGTTCATCAAGTGACCAGAGCCGGGGATATTAGCTCAGCGGGACAAGCACTTGCCTGGCAAGCGCAAGGTCCTGAGTTTGATTCCCGGTACCCCCCCCCCCCCCGCCACCGCAAAAAAAATCAAGTGACCTGATTGGTTTTTAATACCACTCTCCAGGGGCTGGAGATTTAGCTCAGCGGCACAGCGCCTGCCTGGGAAGGGCGAGGTCATGAGCTTGATTCCCGGTACTGGAAAAAAAATACCACTCTCTAGTAAAAGGAACTAGGGATCTTAGAAGTGGCTGGGGTATGGGAGGAACCCAGGGGCACCCTACCACTGAGCTGTGTCCCAACATTTCGTTCATGTTTAGATTTTGAGACAGGGTCTCTCTAAATTGCTCAGGCTGGCCTCAGACTTCCTTTCCTCCCTTTTCAGTCTCCCAAGTATTTGGGATTACACACATGTGTCATCGCTATCAGCACTCCTCATTCTTTAAGTGTGGCGTGTATAGTGACTTGCTTACAAAAACTGCAACATGGGAGGAGGATGGAAAGCCTCCTGTTTACAGGGGAGAAGCCTGACAAACACTGTCAGCCAGCCAACTGAGGTTAATATCAACAATGATAAATCAGCTAGGTGTGGTGGTACACGCCTGTCACTCTAGCACTCGGGAGCCAAGGTGGAGGCAGGAGGATCCTCACTAGTTCAAGGCCAGCTGGGCTGCATAGTGAGTTCAGTCCCAGCCTGGACTAGCAAAAACAAAACACAAACAAGGATAAATCATGTTGCTAGTATGTAACCTTAACATGTGATCAAAATGGCACTTCAGTGTCGTCTTCCCAGTATAATCATGAGAAAAACAGGTAAATCTCAATTGATGGACATTCTCCAAAGTACTTGACCAGTTCTCCTCAAATCAGTCAAGTCAAGCAAACAAGGGAAGCCGGGTGTGGTGGCACACACCTGTAATCCCAGCCCTCAGGAGGCTGAGGCAGAAGATTCATTGTGAGCTCCGGGCCAGCCTGGGCTACAAAGTGAGCTCAAGTCCAGCCTGAACTGCACAGCGAGACCCTGTCTCAAAGAGAAAAAAAAAAAAAAGTAGCAAGGGAAAGCTGAGAAACAGCAATAGGAGCCTGAGGGGACCTGACTACTACATGCAATGCGGTAGTGGGGTCTGATATAGAAGGAAACTTACGTACAGCTGAAGGAAATCTAAATAAAACATGGACTTCAGTTAAAAATAATGTTTGTGAATTGTAACAAAGGTACCATGCTAATGCAAGATGTTAATGATGGGGCAAACGAGGTACACTATGGGGACTTTTTTTAGTACCATCTTTGCAAATTTTCTGCAATCTTAAACTATTCTTAGGGCCGGGGTTATAGCTCAGTGGCACAAGCACCTGCCTGGCAAGCAAAACGTCCTGAGTTCAATTCCCGGTACCAAAAAATAATAATACAGGTAAACTATTCTTAAAGGCTTCTTTACATAAAATCAGGTTCCGGGGCCCTACCCTCAATAGTTCCAATTCTGAATATGTGGTAGGGGTACCAGCATCTGTATGTCTTTTTCTTTACAGAACCCTAGATGATTAGTAACCAGACAATCAGGCCCACTGTTTAAAAAAATGCTGTTATCTGAGGTGGGTGTTGGTTGAGCAGCGTCACCCTGAAGAAACCTTAGTCCAACTCTCATCTTACATTCAAGAAACTCTCCTGAGCTACCGCTTGTGGTTGTACTGTGCTCTGACCGCAGGCAGGTGGGGGGATCTGAATTACCACAAGCAGTTTCAGTTCCAGGCCTGTCAAAGCTGCACTGTCATAAAAATTTCCGTTTGTTTTAACCTGTGAAATTGGAGGGTAATTTGTTATGTAGCAATAGGTAACTAGTATACCCCTAATATTTAACCCAGTCTCATTTCCAGAGTTCATTCATTTAGGTGAGATCCAAACAACAGCCAGTGGCAGCAAGGAAGTGCTCTTTAAGTAGCAATGTTCAGCCAGGGGTGGTGGCCCACGCCTGTAATCCCTGCACTCGGGAGGCTGAGACAGATGGATCTTTGCAAGTTTGAGACCAACCTGGGCTACAAAGTGAGCTCAAGGCCAGCCTGAACTACATAGCGAGACCCTGTCTCAAAAAGGTAAAAAAAAAAAAAAAAAAAAAAGAAACAAAAAACAGGAAATCAACCTGGGTCACAGTGATGGAAGAGGGCCCAGGGCACAAAGCTAGATTCATAAGATCCCTGAGTTCTTTCCCTTAACAAAGGGTTCCAACTGCTTGCAACTGCTGCCTGTGTTTCTTTCCCCCACAAACATTAACTTAGCTGAAATGTGGCCCTTCTGTGTGGCCTTCTGACAGTGCTGTCCACTCTGCTCGCCCTGCCAGTCCCTCAGGACACAGCACACACCCGTACACACCACCCTGCCTCGAAGCAGTCCTCTCGCATTGCCTGAGTTCACAGCATCACTGCCGCTGCTTGGCTCCCAAACCTTCCATGGCAGCCTTGACCTTTTCCTTTCCACCCCACCTGCTTGCTGCGGGCCACAGACAAGCCTGTGGACTCTACTTTGAAAACACATCCTGAAGCCCTGAGCTTTCGGCTCTCTGCTGCTACCTCAGGCCAGGTCCTGTCGTCTCACCATGGGGCTTTCTAGCCACTTTCTGGGCTTCCGATCTTGTCCCTTGTAATCTTTGCCCTGAAGCCAGAGAGCTTTGTAAACAGGCACGGAGGAGGCCCTTTCCCTGCCTAAGGCCCCCCACTGGTTTCCCTGTCTGCGCTGTGCCAGGCCAGATCCCGCCCTGCCCCGGCCATCCACCTAACCTCTGTCACCTCTGCACTCACTAGCTCTTGGCCCTTTTAAATTTTCTTCATTTTGTTTGTAGCCAATACCATGGGCTGCCCTACTCAGTGGCCACTGCTGTTTCTTCCCCTTTTCCTGGCTAAAGGGATTCCAACTTGGCTCAGGTAGCAACAAACTTGAAGGGACATACTAGCTTTTCCCTGTCCTAGAGATAGATCTTGAGGGGCTAGGACAACCGGTTGTTTCCTTCCCACTGCTGGAACAGCGTAGAGCTGAGCTCAGGTTGCCATCCTGGCCCATGGGAGCCGAGGGACATCGCTGGGGGCTGCTGCAGGTCTCCCTGACTCTTGAAAAGGGGGACAGGAGAGGAGGCCACACCCTTTCTGCCCCTCTGCAGGCCGGGGCTGTGTGCAGCTGCTGTTCTTGCCTCTGCGGCAGCCTGGGTTCCCTACCACTTCTCCCTGGGGTTCTTCACCTCAGGGCCAAGCCCTGAGGCCCTGATGACTCACACCTACCCTGCATCTTCTGTTATGATGGCCAAAAGCACGCCCTGTCACAATCTAAAATCACTTCGTTGGCTTGCTTATTACCTCTGTCTTCCTGCTCCTAAAGATGGAGCTCTGCGAGGAAAGGGCGTTGCTGTGTCCCTGCTGTGTGGGGTGGGAACGGTCTGCCTTGCGTGCAGCAGGTGCTTAGTGAATGAATGTGTGCTGACTGAATGCCCGATGGACGCCCCTCGGGGGCAGGCAGCAACACTCACTTCCTGGCCTAGCAGGTGGCTGTGGCTTAGAACCTCTGTGGGATTCACGGGCTGGGAAGTTAGAAGACAGCTGCTCAAGAACCCAATTTAATAAGGTTTTCACACAGACACATACAAAAACACACCTAACAATGTACAAGTCCTCGCGAGACCGGGGACTGGATCCAGAAAGCAGAGACCCCCTGCCTGGAGGCGGGGCCTCAGGCGCTGGAGATCTCGGGGCATCTTCCCACTGATTCTCTGTATCCTGGCCACAGCTCACCAAGGTAAGGAACCCGCGCCAGAGGATCACACTTAAGAGCTGCTCAGGCCCCACCTTTTACCTCCCCGAGGCCTCCCTGCTGTAGGCAATGTGGAAGAAGGGGAGAGACTCTTAACCTCAAGAAAATGGAACATCGGGCCCCACCTTTCAGGGACTCAGCAGCTGTCCAATGACGGCTTCTCTGCCTGTTTGTGGCTAAGTGACCACAGGTTTGCTAGGGAAGCTGCCAACAGCAGACAGCAAGGGTAGAGAGGTCCAGGGAGGCACAGCAGGGCTTCAGGCCCCGTCCAGACCAGACCAGACCAGACCAGCTGCCCGCAGGGAGTCACCACTGCAGGGGGCTGATGTCAGCGCCCAGCTCCTCCTCCTCCTCCTCCTCCTCTTCCTCCTTCAGTGGGAAGGGCTTTGCGGGCCACTTCACCCTGAGGACAGGCTCCGTGTGCTCCTGCAGGCGGTGTCGCTTCATGTGGGCATTCCGGCTCTTGATCTTGTCAAACACCCTGAGGGGTTGCCAGAGAATGGAGGGTGAGGGTGGGGAGGGAGAGGCCAGGGAGGTGCCAGAGCCCAGGGAACCGGCCAGGTACCTCTCACATTCTCTGCACGGAAAAACGCCCTGGCTCTCCACGCTCCCCGGCGGCTCAGGGGTCCGCTTGGGGCCTGCACTTGGGCTGGAGTTGAGGATGGACTCCCTCCTGTAACTCTTGGTCTTTATCTTTAACTCAGGAGTTGGGCTGTGGCTGGGTCTCTCCTGAGGGCTGCAGGTGACCTGCAGAGGGGGTGGAAACAAAACACGGGCTCTGACCTTGCAGCCCTGGAAGGCAGAGGCGGTCGGCAAGGAGAGCCTCCCTCAGGACCGCCTCTCTCCGGCTGGGACTGCAGTGGGTATCGGATCAGAGGTGCCTGCCAGACCTCTCCCTCTAGGGCCTCTACCTTTTCTTCTGTCCTTTCTACTTCATCCAGCTCTCTCTTGACCCTCTTTTCTAGCCCTGGGGCTCGGCCACAGTCAAATTTGATCATTTTTTTCCAGATGTAATAATACTCAACACATTGTGCCACTGTCTTTGTCTGGATCTAGTGGAAGAAAACACAAGCGGATTGTAGGCAGCGCCTAGTGAGCTGATCCTACCGCTGGCCGGCAGCACCTGCCCAGAGCCCTCCCACAACACCTCTGTTCCCTTTGCTACAGAGGCAGGGCCCACAGCATCCTTCCAGGTGACGAGGGCATCCAAAGCGAAGCCACAGGAGCCACCCACCCCCAGCCCAGCACATGGGGGCAGCAATCTCAGCCCGGGAATTCTTCCCTACAGAGAGATGCGCACAGGGCTCGCCACAACCCCGTGCCAACAGCTGCATGTTTCCCAGCAGGGACTAAGTAACACTGAATGCCCTCAGCAGGCGTGGTGGCGCAGGCCTGTAACCCCTATACTGTGGAAGGGTTAAGTATGATGATGCCAAATTCAAGCCCAGCCTAGGCAATTTATCAATATATATATATATATATATTTTTTGGTCTTTTTGAGACAGGGTCTGGCTGTGCAGTTCAGGCTGGCCTTGAGCTCACTTTGTAGCCCAGGCTGGCCTCGAACTCGCAATGATCCTCCTGCCTCAGCCTCCTGAGTGCTGGGATTACAGGTGTGCACCACCACGACTGGCTCAAGCAATTTATCAATTTAGTGAGACTCTGATTCAAAAAATATATATAGTTACAAAAGGGCTGGGATGCAGCTCAGGGTGAACCTGGGCTTCAATGCCCAGTATGGGGTAAAAAACAGGGGGTAAGACACTCAGTTGACAAGGCACAGTGAACTCTGAAAGTGGACTCACACATGAATGCTCACAGCTGCTTTTTTATTTGTTTGTTTGTTTTTTGAGACAAGAGTCTTACAGTGTAGTCCAGGCTGACCTTGAACTTATTTAGCCCAGGCTGGCCTTGAACTCACAGCAATCTTCCTGCCTCAGCCTCCCAAGTGTTGGGATTACAGGCATACCACCATGCCCGGCTTCAGAACTGCTTTTTAATTGCTTCGCATTGGAAACTGCTCAAATGACCATCAAATAGTGAAGGATTAAACAAACTGTGGTATATCCATGCCATGGAATACTACTCAGCAGTAAAAAGGGGTGAGTTGTCAATCTGTGCAACAAGGACAAACCTCCGCTGTGTGGAATGTAGGATGCTAGACAAGGCAGAGCACATGCTCTATGGCTGCTCCATTGATGTAAGGCTCTAGGAAGGGCAAAGGGATTTACTGCCAGGGAGTGGCACGGGTGGTGGGTTCCAAGGGGCAGAGGAAACTGGAGGGGGCACAGATCTGTTCATTATCTTGGTTATGGCGATGGTTCCCGGGTGTGTGAATATGTCAAAACTTACCAAACCTTGTACTTTGATTATGTGCAGTTTCGTGTACCTCAAATTTAAAAAAGAAGAGGTAAAAGCAGCAGAATCTTATATTCGGTATGAGCCCATGCTTTTTAAGTATATGATGCATGTGCACATCTGGGCAGACAGGAAATGCCTGTAAGCGCTCGTCAGGGAGTCACCAGAGCTGCTGAGTCAGAAGTGGGGAGCGGCGGGGGCGCAGAGGACTCTGGAGCACGCAGGCATTTCTGTCCTGTGTGGCCAGATGAGATAGTCGGTGGGGTGTCAGCAGGCGGGGAGGGCGGGGTGCTGGGTGCCCAGCGCCCTCCCACTCCTCTGCCACAGCTGTGTGATGGCGCCTGCCCCTGCCCTCGCTGCCCTACCATCTTGTGTATCAGGTAGAAGTCCTTCTTGTGGGCACAGAAAGCCTTCTTAAAGAGCCTCTTCTCCATGGGGGTCCAGATGTCGGAACCTGTCAAAGAATACAGCCAAGAAGAGGACATTGCTCCTTGTGGGGCCACGGGCACCGCTGACCAGCCTCTTCAAACTGCCATCACTAAGCGCCAGTCGCCTGCCAGCCTCCTGCCGTCCCACAAAAGCCCTGCAAGGTCATTGCTGCCCCCCCAAGCAGATGTGGCAGCTGAGGCTCCCATGGCTCACTCCAGGGACGGTGAGCTCCACCATGGAACCTGAGCTGACCGCGGGCAGCTCTCCTGCTCCCTGGCTGAACAGAGCCCCAGGGGAACCGCTGCATGAGGGACGAGGCAGGATCCAGTGAGCAGAAACCGGTGCCTGCTGAGTCACGCTGGAAGGACAGGCCCTTCTAGAATGGCAGGCAAGGGGCTGAAGGGGACTCCAGCAGAGCCCCACCGACCCGCTTGTGGGAGGGGCTCGGGCCAGGCCCAGCGGCCTCTGTCCAGTCACCTGTGTAGCGATAGTCAGCCAGCGGGTGGGTCCATGGCTTCTGGGCTCCTCTGAGTAAGAGCGTCTCCAGGGCCCCCTGGAAGAAGAGGAGGGGAGGCTATTCTCGGGTGCGGGCCAGCAACGCACAGGATCGCTTCTGTCCTTTCACTCATTTGAAAAACACTCACAGTCAACCCTAAAGTTCTGGTCCCAGGGCCGCTCGAGGGGTGGGGGGTGCCTGGGCCAGCGGCCAGGCTGGGGCTGGCGGCAGAGCACTAAGCGCCCTTCTGAGGGCAGCTGTTAGCTTTCCCAGAGAGAGGTGCCGTCCTTGATGAAACAGTGCGTACTCATTTATTCTCATTTACTCTGGCACAAGCTCCTTGTTCCATCAGGGACGGGGCTTGGAGGAGCACTCTAGCTCCACAGCTCTCATCGTTAGCTAATTTTTTTTTTTTTTTTTTTTTTTTGGTCTTTTCGTTTTTTTCTCCGGTACCGGGAACCGAACTCACGACCTTGCACTTGCCAGGCAGGCGCTCAGTGATCCTCCTGCCTCAGCCTCCTGAATGCAAGGACTACAGGTGTGCGCCACCATGCCCTGTTTAGCTAATAAGTTTAAAAACCATATTTC